CACTGACGAGTCCTAGAAGGGCGAAACAGTTGTATGATGCAGATCAATTCATTGTTTGGCTCTACCTACTGTATCAAACATTATTTTCGTTTGAAAGGTGAAATCGTTTGTGCCTTTTGTACAATCTTATGAGAGCAATGAAGTAATAAGTAAAATTTCGTATAATTATCCTCAGCTCATATAACTGATATTTTCTATTTGATTGGGTTCCCACAGATGCCTCCGCCATTATCCAAGCAAATTGTACACGTCTTATTACCTGTTTCTATTGGGTTTATCATATTTTCTGTAGACTTTTTTATTCTATGATTTCAATTCAAGTGCCAACATTTTAATAGAATTAATGTGATTTTTTGCTTCAAATTTCTCCTCTGGACTTCTGCAGTCTGAACATTGCTGAAGAGTCCTAAAGATGGTAAACGAGTGAACAGTACCTTTTGATTTAAATAGAGAAAAGGATACAGAGATATATTATGAATTAAACTGCATCATAAACCGTAATTCAATAATTTTCATTATTTTCATTTGTCCGATAATTTCAAAAGAAATGTCAGGTATATGTGCATATTCTGACCCGTGTCACTATTTCAATGAGTTAGAACGTGGTATACAGGTTACGGCTAACCTAATGGACTAGAACTCCATCAGCAATACCTATCACCCACAATCTTAAAGATTATACAAAAGACACATATACTATATATATAGTATACGTTAGTTTATACAGTATCGATGAATGATTCGTTCATTATTTGTATATATGTTATACAATATCTTCAATAAATGTAATGTTTATGAATTAATCAGATGAAGTCTTTCCTCAAGGAAGCCGTTCCCCAATTTTTAAAGTGACTTCATCACAGATAGGAAGACCAATTAAACTATTTGAAATTGAATTTGATGAATAATAAGACAACCAAGCAAAAGATATAACACTCATTCTAAGCGTATTGTGAATTATTTTCAAACAAGATTTGTTTTATCTATTTTACTTTGATTTGAAGTTTGCCTCCTAGGTTTCGAGATGCGGGTCCTAAGTATCACTGACGACGAGTCCTAGTAGCACGAGACGGCTACATATAAATCTCAGAATATGTCGCCTTGTTAATTACACATTACCTGTGAAAAGATTAGCTTACTATTTGTTTTTCTTGTTAGTAATTGTTTTGAATGCCAGTATATGTAAATTTTAAACTTTCTTTTGTGATTTCGACTATAGTATATTAGTATACATTTTAGTACATCTATTCGGTATATATTTAGTACATTAGTATATGAGAATATATGGATGGCGTATCATAAGTTTAATTATAAAGATGAGCCAATATTATCCATCATTTACTAGAGCTTCTTTTAAATTGATGAAAATAAAAGTAATAGAAAAATTGTTATGTAGGCAGAGCAACTAACTTGAAACTGACGAGATGAGAGCTACACATAAATTAATACAAGAATAATATTTTATGTTTGATGTTTCATCGATGCAAAAATATCGCCATATCATGAAAGTGGTATCATTTTCTTAAAACGAGTACATATGTAATGATTAAGAACGAAGTTCATAATACTATAGCTTGATGAGTAACAAGGAGCAAATCTAGACACTACACATTTTGATGTAACAGTAACAATGTAAAATTAGTATTTTGAAAATATTTATTGCATTATCTATACAGATTCTATTGTTCTGTTACCGATATTACCTTTCATTCCTGTAGACAGTCTTAAGATTTAAGCTTCTTGACGTCTTGGATTTTGACTCTAGCATCCTTGAAATCAGTTCCGAGTTGTGGACGAAGATCAAACTAAAGATATTATGAGTTATCCATTTATACGAATCGATATTAAATGGATTCAGGTATACAGATGTAAGTACGAAGTATTTTAATATCAGTTATAATGAGGGATGAAACTGTTCCTGAATTAGCATAAAAATGTTTATAAATAGACATCAATATAGATCCAACGATAATTAAACTGCATAAAAAAGACCAGGCCCGCTCGTGCAAAGGTTGGTCAAAGTTAACCAGAAGTTAGTGAAAATTGAAATTGGTTCCACTGATGAAACAGGCATTTCAACGCAAAACTGATAATGCAAAATATCAATATGATCTTTTGCAACAAATATACATGTATGAAACGATAAAATATGTTAAACGTTTTGGTTAATTAATATTTGTAATTTACATTAATAATTACTTATTTCTAACCACGCTTTGAGCAACTGGGGCAAGGTTGTACAGATGACATAACTGAAAATAGAATGAGTTCAAAATAATAATCGTGTGTTCATGCATAAATCATGTCATGTTGATATCATGTTAACCCATCATTTATTCACTCTTGTGTGACCTCACCATCCGCTAACAGAACTAGAAACGTTTGTTGAGTGTATCTGACTCTTGCTTTTGACAAACCATTTTATCACGACATGTCAATTTCTGGCTTTGAACAAGGTGTACATAGCAGAGCTGAATATGAAATCTGTGATGCTGGGATGACCCCGTGCAGCTTACAACACTTGGTTCCAGGATGAGATATATGTCAATCCGATGACAAGTTCCTGTTGTTGGAGGGTATAAATGGAAGATAAGGACCTCTTTACGGTGCCAAGAGCCATTTCATATCAAGCCAGTAGCTGTTCAGGTAAGTTACGAATATGAATAACTATAACCCATTAGAGGCTAATTTTTAGATAGAGTAGAATTTTACCTTCAGATTGTTTCAGTTTCCATGTATTTTGTCAGTACTAGCGATGAATGACTCGTGAATACTAATCATTTCTTCTTTTTAAAAGAGCAATATTCATATGGTTGAAAAGTAAATACATCAAAAGTCAATATTTCGAAAGCTATGTATTACAGGGATTATAATGATGATAAAATAATAAATTTTCGAGATGTCAAAAGTGCCGAGATCATAAGATGATCGATACCTTATGCATTCATAGAGTAATGAATGTTGATAATTTCGATAGAGCTTTCGAAATAGTTGGAGTTTAGTAGATAAATTGGAATCCAGCATATATACAACCTTTTTTTTGGCCATATATTTTGTCTATCTTTTACTCTTCCGGAACACCTGGTCTTAATCTTCTTTTGCTTTTTCAGGAGTTTCCGTGTAAAACTTTCTTTTGTTCATATGTTGCTATAGTTTCATTGAATTTGAGTTTTGATCATGATTATGTGTACATGTTAGTATTTTGACGCTCAATATTGTGTATTTAAACGAAATAATATTTGAAAGAATACGATATAAAAGATAAAACAATATTCTGTATAAACAAATGACAATAGTTAAGTATTACTTTTAGGGTTTCACATATCTGGTCGATGACAATTATTATGAAATTTCAAGGTAAAGTGTTTTCATATCATTGTGTTGACAATGGCATATGAAACTTTCCCGATGAGCAACTGCATATTACGTAATTTAATGAAGAAAAGTTTCATATTTGTTTACAAAATGTATATTCTAGAAAAAAAAACATTCAAAAAATACTATATATCAAATATATTGGACATTAAAGATATTCCAAGGTTATTTGTTACCAGTTGTGTATTTGCTAACAATACTGAAATATATTACGATAAGGTGTTTCATAGTTCATATAAAAGAATCTCGCAAAAGTAAATTCGTATTGACCCCCTTTAGAAATATATATTCAAATGCTCTGTGGTATACATTTTGCATAAAAACTTGGATTTCGAAATTAAAAAATGATATTTGTTTTTACATGTTTGATTTGAAATTGTAACTGTGACGTTTCACAAGTTGATGCTCTGTTAAACTGTCATGGTTTTAGAGACAAAACCTCGATTTATATTCAAGAATTTGCTGAATATTTAATATGGTCTTTGTTAGCTTTCAGGAAAAACAGAAAAAAAAACTATAAAGCAAAACCAAATTTATCTACCTAAGAGACAACGGACTTAATTTCAAGCTAGACATAATTTTGAGGTCGGCTTGATTTTGAGTTTTAGGGTGACATCTTCATATCGTCTATAAGATACATTTGTAAAAGTATATTAACTATTTTTTAAACTTAGATAATTCATCATATCATATATCATATCTACATATAACATTAGTGATGTTAATACCATACCTGGTTATGATCGGGAAGAGTGCAATAAAGTTCAATATATAACTTGTCGGCATAACAATATGTCTTTTTAACATTAAGTATCATTAACTCCCGAGAAAAACATATTGCAGTTATATGATTCAATTTATTACCTTTTAATTATTTATTATGGATATAATAACCATAAATTTTCGCTACCAGACATTCTAACTTTATAAAAATGTGTCGCTATTGTTGGTATTTGTCTGGAAATATTTTAGCATGAATATGTCACAGAATGGAAATCGAGGTGATGTATAATGATGCATTATGCACAGCGCATAACAAAGCTGTATCAAAATGTATATACAAGGCACACAGACTGGACTAGAAAATGCAAGACGCAAATGTGATCATTCCTTCCATAGCCACCCAACCAACATGTTAGAGAAAACTATCAAACATTTAATTATGAGATCTATCTTGTTGCTTAAGATAGCCTCAACCTAGCGAATGCATGATTATAACAAAATAATAACATTTTAGATTTATTTTCATCGGTTCGCTTGTTATCTAGTTTTTATGGTATAATGTATAAATGTTGATGACCAGGTCTTATATACATATAAATACATGGAGTTTCGAAATTTCAATTTTTTAAAAAGTTTTTTATTTTGTTGTATTTTTACAGGTTTTTTAATTAAAACTATTGAAAACAAAATCAAATAGAAGCAGTCAATTTTTGTGCATTTTCAATTCATAACGTAATACATGGCCCATGTTATACTATAACATCATTATCGACTCCTGACTGACGCAGCTAATAGAAAATGCTCCAGGGTGTAGAGAACTTACTGATATATGAAAAATATGCATGGTCAAATTACGTGATTAAACCTCTTTTTTCAGAAAAGCATCAATCCCGAGTTAAAAGATGAAGATGAATACGTTTTTCAACAAATCCTTTCTCCTACTTTGCCATGTAATCTTGTTAGTGTCTGCTGGAGGAAGTTCTGAAATGATGAAGAAAATGATGGGAGGTATGTAAATACTGTCAGATTTGCATTTTAGTATTTAACTATAATATCATTTCTATTTTTCCATTTAATGTTCATTCCTTATTAAAACATTTTTGCGACTACTTTTATATTTCTATTCATCAAGCTAATCAACAGTATAGACGATTTTACTTGAATGTACATTTGAACTAATCATTCTGTTTAAGTTGTTGATATTGGATAATAACTATGTATTCCATTCATAAACGTATGCTTGGAAATAGCATAGAATGGTCGATGCAAAATATGATTTTATTCCAGGAAAAATGATGGGAATGCCAGCAATGCCGAAATCTATGGAAGGTATGTCTGCTGGTATGATGATGTCCATGTCTAATCCAATGATGCCAATGGGAGCAATGCCAATGGGTAGTATGCCGGTGAGCATGGGAATGAAGCCAATGGGCGGTATGGGAGGAATGCCTGCTGGTGGAAATCCTTCTGGAATGAAACCTGCAGGTCCGGCTCCTGACGAAATGGAAGGAATGGGTGCAGGCGAAGAGGCTGGAGCAGCAGCTAGTGCCCAGAAAGGAGGCAGCATGACGAACAATGTCATGATGATGATGGCTCCAATGGGCGGCGGCATGGGTGGAATGGGCATGATGCCAGGGGCAATGTCTCCGATGATGAAATACATGATGAAAAATAGGATGATGATGATGGGCGGTATGGCAATGAGACCCATGGGAAGTATGTCCATGGGTGGCATGAAACCGATGTACATGAAACCTACCGGAGGTATGCCAATGGGAGGTATGATGTCAGGTATGCCAATGGGTGGCATGAAACCGATGGGCATGAAACCTACCGGAGGTATGCCAATGGGAGGTATGCCAATGGGTGGCATGAAACCGATGTACATGAAACCTACCGGAGATATGCCAATGGGAGGTATGCCAATGGGAGGTATGCCGAAGGGAGGTATGCCAATGGGTGGCATGAAATCGATGGGAGGTATGCCAATGGGAGGTATGCCAATGGGTGGCATGAAGTCGATGGGAGGTATGCCAATGGGTGGCATGAAACCGATGGGCATGAAACCTATGGGAGGTATGTCAGGTATGCCTATGGGTGGAATGAAACCGATGGGTATGAAACCTATGGAAGGTATGATGTCAGGTATGCCTAGTGGTGGAATGAAACCAATGGGCATGAAACCTATGGGAGGTATGATGGGTGGTATGCCAATGGAAGGAATGATGGGTGGTATGCCAATGGGAGGAATGATGGGTGGTATGCCTATGGAAGGAATGAAACCTATGGGTATGAAACCTATGGGAGGTATGATGTCAGGTATGCCTATGGGTGGAATGGAACCAATGGGCATGAAACCTATGGGAGGTATGATGTCAGTTATGCCTATGGGTGGCATGAAACCGATGGGCATGAAACCTATGGGAGGTATGATGTCAGGTATGCCTATGGGTGGAATGAAGCCGATGGGCATGAAACCTATGGAAGGTATGATGGGTGGTATGCCTATGGAAGGAATGAAACCGATGGGTATGAAACCTATGGGAGGTATGATGGGTGGAATGCCAATGGAAGGAATGATGGGTGGTATGCCAATGGGAGGAATGATGGGTGGTATGCCTATGGGTGGAATGAAACCGATGGGTATGAAACCTATGGGAGGTATGATGGGTGGTATGCCAATGGAAGGAATGATGGGTGGTATGCCGATGGGAGGAATGATGGGTGGTATGCCTATGGAAGGAATGATGGGTGGTATGCCTATGGAAGGTATGCCTATGGGAGGTATGAAATCAAGTGGTATGGAACCTATGAAAGGCATGATGGGTGGTATGCCTAAGGAAGGTATGAAACCTATGTCACCCATGCCGTCGAATTCGAAACGTAAGTAAAACAATTTGAATCACACGCTTTAGTTGTGAATATAATGAATCTTTGAGATATCTTCCTTTTCCCATTTATGAATTTATGAATCAAACATGATATTCTAAAATGGAAATGTGTTCTTGTTCTAAACGGAGATGAATACGGGTTGCTTCGGGAGGTCAAGGTCGAGCCCATATTAAACGGGAAATATTTTATTCCATTTTTAGCTTAAATTCTCAAATCAATAACAATGAAACATGACATGTTTATGTTAGCAATCTTTAAAGGCTATCAATTTAGGTCAAATGTCAAATAGTTAGAACGCATGTTATTTGCATATGAGAGGATACAAGTAATAATCTACAATCGTACAATCGGTGGCCAATTGAAAAGATAATTATCTTATTTACTCTTTGGTTCAAACACAGATGATTTGTTTCTTTGGGGCCTCCCTTAAAACTATTTTATTACTATTTGTTTTCATCATCGAACGCGATTGATATCGCCTGATCACTTTCTGCTATCACTTGTTCAAACTATTCCACTGTATTTCACCTGTATCTTGATTAAGTTACAGGTGCAAGTTTGTATAAATAAGAAAAAATCATATGTATTCAGATCAATGAAGATAATAATACTAATATATATATATACATTTATCTTAAATATTTATATTTATGAATTTTACTGGCACTTCTGTAATGAAGAATATTTTTTTCTTTCAGGAGGATCATACTAACGCCTCGGCAAATACCAAACATTCTGTTCATCAACTTCATGTCATACTCAGTCTTTCGTGATTTCTTACATATGGAGCAATAAATCTTAATTACAAATGCAGATTTTTATCATTTTGTGTTTTTATTTTCGACAGTGCAGCATACACATAATAATACCGAAAAATGATTTGATGCAGAAAGGTTTAATCGATATGACGTCATTTTGTGTATATATTGAAGTATAAAAATGTTTTTCTATGATATCCTTAAACGTGAATGTATTAATAACACTGGAATGATAAACTTCACGTGCAATAATAGATTAATTGGGAAATTAAACAGCAGAGATTAATTGAAACTTCAAAATGAACAGATGAAGCATAAACCATATCGCAACACCATTGACTTCCTAGATAAATACCGAGACTATTTCATATCATCCGATCATCAACTCACATTAATCACAATGGAAATATCTTTTTGATTTTTAACCGAAACATCTGCGGACAAGCTTATCTTCAATGAGTTTGGTGTAGACTATTCTCTTATTTGTGGGAACAGACTGTATACCTCTCCTGGATGATTTGTTTTTGTTTTTTAACAATGCTTATTTTCATCAAATCAGGTCACAAAAACCTTGTCAAGTCCTTCAGTTCACTTTAAGATATATTGATTGATAATGTTTTATAATAACACGAAAGGAATTTATGAAACATGTCATTCACATATACATATCAAAACTGGAAAGCAAGGACAAGACCATTCTTCTACATCAGCCATTTACTTCGATCTTTTCTCTTCAAAAAAGCGAACATAGGGAACTATCAACAAAACTGTATGATAAGCGTGATGACTTCAATCTTACTTTTTCAAATTGTAAATTTTCTATTTCCTGATAGCAACGTACCTGCCTTCCAAAACTTTTGTTTTTACATGTCGCAGTTGATTCGATATTCAAGGGCTTTTACCCAATATCATTATGCAAGCTGCCGACAGCTGACAAATAAAATCATAGGAGAGGGTTTCGAGGAATAAAGGTTAAAGAAGTTTTGCGATCTTTACCATTATCACGTGTGGAAATGTTTGATTTATTTCTGGTCTTTGTGCGATATGAAGTTGGACGCGTTTAATGTTTGTTAGAATGGATTGTAGTTCCGTTGTTGCCGATCTTTTTGAATGTGACATCAATAACTGGAATTGATCAAGATTTTGAACAGGAGTGTCATTGAGGAAGCTGAAGATGCTTTCAGGGGTCTCCTTGTTAATCTTTCTTCCGTTCATGTATACATGGCCATACGTTTAGGACCATCCATATCTTAGATTGGGTTTCTTTTATTCGCCGTATTACAAATATTCAAGGACAACTCAATAGAATGTATAAGAATGTTTTATGCATCTAGCTAAGTTATACACAGTCTGAAAGAAGACATTTACAGAACGGGAAGAGTTGTATCATTTTAAAAAGATGTCCTCAAATAGGCATTTCCGAAGTCTTGAAAAAACTGTTACTTTAACAGTCTCTTATTAAGAAACACATCATCAAATCGCCAAAACATGTTACTAGATCAAGACGAATTATGAATCAATGACTTCAATTGGGTATTGAAATATCAACATCGGGTATAGCCAACACGCTTTCTTGCTGGTATAATTCTTGTGTCTGTTTCCTTATAACATTGATCAGACGCTAAAGCTTAATCTGAGGAAACGTTTGTCACTCTTAAATCAATGCAACCGGTTAATTCTCCATTTGTTTTGACATTTTGGATCCCATGCATTGACGTTTTGCCCCACTCATGCTCAAATGGGGTCATGTATGTCGAAATTGCAGACCTTGGGAGTGTCACTATCACTTCTTGTTAAAGATAGCCCGATCTGTCAAGGATGGGCATCGGAATGCAGAACAACTGAGGGTCGCAAAATCTTATAACGGTACTCCTGCTCATTTACAGTTCCACCAAGGACATGAAAGAGAAGTTTATAGTTTAGACAATAGCTCCTCGAAAGAGTAACACAGCCACCAACAAATATTTGTGTCAGGAACGTGATTCTGATAGTATACTGTCCTTCTAGTCTCAAAAAAAAGGACATCGCCATCTGTCAAACTAAGTAAAAAGTGGAATCCATCAGACTTGTACACTCTTTGCCAAGACCTATTACTCCACGCCCGACGATCACGTGCCCATGACAATGCCGCTTGTTTGACCCTTCAAGTCAACACAGGACGTTTTACTGGTCAGTGCTTCTGTCGGTCACCGCCTAACACGAACCTTAACGATCTACTGTCCTCTACCCTGTTGGCAGTTGTGAATGATGCTCGCCTTGCCTGTCTAAACAGAAGAATTTGACAGACCTGGGACTCGTCAACATGCCTTTTTTTAGTTCAGCTACTGCAATAAGCGGAAAATAACAAAATGGTTGACATTAAAACGTGCGGCATCTTGTTTGCATATTGTACCACCTTGAACCATTCTAGAAAATTTCCATTTTCAACATTTGCCAATTTTCGAATTGCATGTGTATAGCCTATCGGCAATGCACATGCAAACGTCACTTCAGGTGGTGAGGCAAACTCATGTTTTGTTAAAGTACGGGGTGTGTTCAGTTATCTTTAAAACGGGCGTATCGTTTGGTGGCATACGGTACCAAACACGGGAGGCACTGCAAGGAGACGACTAAGTTTATCTTATATAAGGCAAAGTTCAAGTTTTATCCAAATTTTGGTGCCATAGGGTTTCAGTTGGGATCGAGATTCTTTTTATTTTATTTGTTTATTTATTTATTTAATTTTTTTTAAATATTGGTATTTTTTCTTTGTTATTATTGGATTAAGGACAGCAACTTCATTTCTTGAGTAGGTAATACCAATTTGTATTGCTTTTCGGTTCCAGACGTTTATGCGTATCAAAGCATTAATTGCGAAAGTTTCTTGATGTAAATTCATCTAAAAGGAACAAAAAGAGCTATATTTACCATCAAATGACATCACAAATAATGGTTTTGTCCGCTACGTAAAGGTAAACACGTAATCATTGCTTTCTTACAAGTAAGTCTTCAGTCAGATCACCACTTTGTATTTTGGATTATGCTTAACTGTCTCCAACGTCAAAATGTTCATATTGTTTTTGTTGTTAATTAGTAACTACTTTAAATTTCTCCGATATTTAAATCAAACTGACATCACCATTTATTGAACATATATTATCCTGAACTAAATTCTACTATCAAAAATTGATAAATGTAAATATAAAAATTGTAAAAGGACCCCTTATACGTAAACAATGTCTCTATATGGAAATAGCTGTTAGGTGAATCATATTTACGTCGATAAATCGAAAGACACACAGGTAAATAGCACTTTACAGAGCTAATTTAGAACTAGAGGCAAATTGAGTATCTACATATATATATATTTTTGTTCATCGATAATAGCTGAAATTATACTTTCCTGTGTACACGCTTTGTAAATATTAAGTCAATTAGTGAAAGGGGGCATTTATGTGTCCGACCTGAACAAATATAGATCAATAGAAAAGATACCATCATAAAAACAAACAACAAAAACAAGATTTGTTTATGTAACAGTATACCCTCGGTTGCAACAAAATTCTAAAGAGGAGCATTAAAACTGTACTTTGTAAGGCATGTGCTAACTTAATGCACACTTTGTGAAACACTTAATTGTGATAAAGCGGTTTTTTTTTTACTTTCAAATGTAGGTCATAGGTCAAAGGTCTCATGGTCACACCAGAAAAGTCGTGTGACAAGGAACAAGCATGCCAAATATAGTGCAACAGTTATGTCCAGGGTTAAAAAAATCAAATTCAAAGGTGAGGATCAAGGTCACACGGTCAAAAAACTTGATACCACCAAAACGCTCTTGTAAGAAGTAACATACATGCCAAATATGAAAATTCACGCATTATGGAGCAAAGTTAATGCAAATGTTTAATAAAAAAAAAAAAAAAGATATGTTAAGTCATAGGTCACGATGAAGATCACATGGTGAAAACATTTTGGTTCCACCGGGAAGGTATTGTCACTAGACACATACATGCCAAATATGAAAGCCCTACCTCTTACGGTGCAAAAGTCATAGGCAAGGTTCAACACACAACACAAAAAAAATCTTTCGATCCGGGAGTATTAAAACAAAAAGATTAGAGACTCAACAAAACCGGTCTGATAACCGAGGTGAGAAGGTGATTCAGTCAGAATCTCTGATGACCACCTTTTTATGTAATCAGACTCATCAACTTAATTTGATCGATTGTATGATAATAAATACGTTGCAGCATAATATGACTGATACAACACCTCGCATACAACAGAATCATCTATATACACATTAACATAACATGACTGATACAACACCTCGCATACAACAGAATCATCTATATACACATTAACACAATATGACTGATACAACACCTCGCATACAACAGAATCATCTATATACACATTAACATAACATGACTGATACAACACCTCGCATACAACAGAATCATCTATATACACATTAACACAATATGACTGATACAACACCTCGCATACAACAGAATCATCTATATACACATTAACATAACATGACTGATACAACACCTCGCATACAACAGAATCATCTATATACACATTAACACAATATGACTGATACAACACCTCACATACAACAGAATCATCTATATACACATTAACATAATATGACTGATACAACACCTCACATACAACAGAATCATCTTGATACACATTAACATAACATGACTGATACAACACCTCACATACAACAGAATCATCTTGATACACATTAACATAACATGACTGATACAACACCTCACATACAACAGAATCATCTATATACACATTAACATAATATGACTGATACAACACCTCACATACAACAGAATCATCTTGATACACATTAACATAACATGACTGATACAACACCTCACATACAACAGAATCATCTATATACACATTAACATGATATGACTGATACAACACCTCACATACAACAGAATCATCTATATACACATTAACATAATATGACTGATACAACACCTCACATACAACAGAATCATCTTTATACACATTAACATAATATGACTGATACAACACCTCACATACAACAGAATCATCTATATACACATTAACATAATATGACTGATACAACACCTCACATACAACAAATTTATCTACATCCACATTAACATAATTTCACTGATACAACACCTCGTATACTACAACCTATGCCGTTTTCTGCGCTTAACAGTTTAAGCCTTAATCACTGACGAGTCCCAGAAGGACTAAACACTTGTCAGTGTTATTCATAATTTGACTCCTTCTAATTCAAACTTTGTATTGAAGGTACTATTGTGTGTCCTCTTTACAATCTCATTAAGGGATTCATTTGTGACCGTAAAATAAAACTTATTTGTGAGATAGTGTTAATAGTGAATAATACAACGACATGGGGGAAAACAATATTGATAAGAGGTATTAGTCTTAGTTCCGGTATAAATTTTTAATGTAATCTTATTCTGATGAAAACTTAAAGCAGATGAAAATATCTGATAATGTAGATTTCAGTAAACAGAACTGTGTCACTCTGGTGAATCAGCAATGAAATGAATCACGGCTGAACAGATATTATACAGGAACATGGACATATAAAACATGCAATTTCTTCACAAGCAAGAAAAATCGTACGGTTGTAATTACTTCGTGTTAATTCAATGTTAAGCCATAGTTGTGGTTGTTGATGCGTTAACGCGCACGTGTATCTCTATTTTACCTGTAGCCTTCCTTTGATTTGCGACAATTTACCTGTACTTGTAACGATTTCCGGAAGTATTTTCAACTACAACAAACAGGTCGGTGGCCCCGAAGATGTTACTTGTCTTTAATGAAGATGTTTTGTGGTTCAATTAACTTTTAAAATAAATTCTCTATGTTCAGTATCTATAAATTGCCTGTCGTTCACCTCTGGTTTGGTACTGCTTATTCGTGTCTCCGTTTGCCCACAAGCCCACTTCACGGACAGAAATATATAACAGCAGACATCTGTGCACTCAAAGTGAGTAAAACGGATTATCATTACGTTAAGTATTGTGCTAAGTAATATCAACTTTCTGCTTGTCTTTTTAATCAGAATATCATTATTTATTTTTTTTTTAATATCCTTATTCTAATTATCAGTCTAAACTTCATCGTGGAATAAGGTGCGCTGTCTTTATAGAATAGATTTAGTTTTTATGTAATTAATTGATATCGTCAAGATTAAAAGTCTATAGCGGTATATCTAAACGTTTCTATATCAATTAAGTAAGATTGTTTCAGTTTCAAAACCTGTGAGATAAGAAATGTATCTCATATATTGATTTGGTTATTTACAACAGATAAAACAATTGTTGAATGGGATTCAGGATGTTTTAATTTAGTATTTAAGTGTTGTGTTTACTAATATATTTAATATTATATATCATATACATTTTTATTTTAGTATTTTAGTATAATTGTACTTTAACGTTTCGTCTTAAAAATGCATTCGTCTGCGATTGGTTATAAATTTACATTTTAATATTAATACAAATTTGTATGATTTCATTTTTATGGTTTATTGTCTAATTATACTTTAAAAATTCCTATGACGTCAGCTTGAAAGTTTTGTATGATTATGCTTATTTTGAATGTTAAGATTAAGTATTTGTGTTTAAAAAAACTATCTAAGTATCGTGTGAGGTACGATTGGTTTAAATCTGTTAGATTCCATGTTTAGATAGTAAAATTAAAGTATAATCATACATCTTATCCCTAGTGTTATGCAAGAAATAGTCATCATTTAATATGCTTAAAGTTTTTGGAAATGGATATCAAGTGTTTGTATTATAATAATTTTCTCGTTCGTTTTCAATAAGACATATTTCCTGTATAATTAAATACAGCTAATACTGATTTGGGCGAGATCATGTTAAAATGTCTATCTACGCTTAATTTTGTTGTTTAAATTCCTTGTAGTCAAAAATGTTAAACAAATATTTGTCAAAATTCGATAACAGTATTTTGCTGACTAAAATATATGCTTCAAAAGCGTGAAAATTCAAACATTGTTTAAACAATTATTCTATATAAATAACCAAACAATAAACCTTAATTTATGAGATATTTCTCTTTAACACTGCTATTTTTCACGTTTCAGACCTGAAACAAGATGCTGTCTATAACACTATTCCTGAAACCGTTTCTTTTGCTGGGACTTGTGTTTGGCTACAGTGCGGGTGGTACTGGAGGTGCCGGAGGTAAAGGAGGTAAGACATGTCTATACACCACACTTGTTTACTGTCCTGTAATATAAAATGCATTTATGTTCCTATGAATACATCCAGAATAACACGAGTTAATGGTAGCCATGACAGGAAATAAAATTAAATAGCGGTATGTTTAACAAAACCTACATGATTTGTCAGATCCGTTCTTTCTGTGAAGAATTATTATTGAGTAAATGTTTAAGGGACTAAATGATAAGATTTTGTTATTTTTCCCGTGCGTTTATTTTCGGGCAAGCATTGAAATGCTTAAAATTGGACTCTTCACAAAATTATAACACTCTCTGAGGAAAATTGATAAAGATTATCAGCATCAAACCAACGCTAGTCGACACTCGCTATTGTGTCTATCAATCATCGCTGTTTTGACGTTGTTAATAAAATGGTTATCCAAACTTTACAATATCATAATTATCAGAGAGTACAAAAATTTTAACATATATTTAAATTTTGTAATATTTTTATCAGTTATGATATTTATACCTAACCATTTAGTCCCTTTGAATAAAAAGGTTGTATTGCTTTCAGATAAACTCTCTTTGCATAATATTTTACAAAATGTTCAAGATGTTGTAATATTTTTCAATGATAAAAGAAGATTAATCGGGAAAACTACTAGAAGATATCGTACGTAATTTATAGAAGACATTTTGTGTGTACATTGTGGACAGGGGTTTAACTTTAAAATCTGAATGGATGTTCATGTACCATTAATTGGCTAGACTAGCAAACGGCTCCTATATCAATATCAGGATATAATTATTCCTAGACCAAGATTAATGATATATTTGGTAGTTCGCTAGTACACTGGCTATGTATCGCTAGCTTTATTATGTCTAATTAAACATTGAAAAACAACAGGTTTTATAACTGATCTCATGTGCATCATAAAGAAATATTCTCTGTATGACATGTTTGTGTTGTGTATATAAGATTAGGGTCCTCTCTATATGACATTTTTGTGTTGTTGTGTATATAAGATTAGGGTCCTCTCTGTATGACATTTTTGTGTTGTTGTGTATATAAGATTAGGGTCCTCGCTGTATGACATGTTTGTGTTGTTGTGTATATAAGATTAGGGTCCTCTCTATATGACATGTTTGTGTTGTTGTGTATATAAGATTAGGGTCCTCTCTATATGACATGTTTGTGTTGTTGTGTATATAAGATTAGGGTCCTGTCTATATGACATGTTTGTGTTGTGTATATAAGATTAGGGTCCTCTCTATATGACATTTTTGTGTTGTTGTGTATATAAGATTAGGGTCCTCGCTGTATGACATGTTTGTGTTGTTGTGTATATAAGATTAGGGTCCTGTCTATATGACATGTTTGTGTTGTTGTGTATATAAGATTAGGGTCCTGTCTATATGACATGTTTGTGTTGTTGTGTATATAAGATTAGGGTCCTCGCTGTATGACATGTTTGTGTTGTTGTGTATATAAGATTAGGGTCCTCGCTGTATGACATGTTTGTGTTGTTGTGTATATAAGATTAGGGTCCTGTCTGTATGACATGTTTGTGTTGTTGTGTATATAAGATTAGGGTCCTCTCTATATGACATGTTTGTGTTGTTGTGTATATAAGATTAGGGTCCTCTCTATATGACATGTTTGTGTTGTGTATATAAGATTAGGGTCCTCTCTATATGACATGTTTGTGTTGTTGTGTATATAAGATTAGGGTCCTCTCTATATGACATGTTTGTGTTGTTGTGTATATAAGATTAGGGTCCTCGCTGTATGACATGTTTGTGTTGTTGTGTATATAAGATTAGGGTCCTCTCTATATGACATGTTTGTGTTGTGTATATAAGATTAGGGTCCTGTCTATATGACATGTTTGTGTTGTTGTGTATATAAGATTAGGGTCCTCGCTGTATGACATGTTTGTGTTGTTGTGTATATAAGATTAGGGTCCTCGCTGTATGACATGTTTGTGTTGTTGTGTATATAAGATTAGGGTCCTGTCTGTATGACATGTTTGTGTTGTTGTGTATATAAGATTAGGGTCCTCTCTATATGACATGTTTGTGTTGTTGTGTATATAAGATTAGGGTCCTGTCTATATGACATTTTTGTGTTGTTGTGTATATAAGATTAGGGTCCTCTCTATATGACATTTTTGTGTTGTTGTGTATATAAGATTAGGGTCCTCTCTATATGACATGTTTGTGTTGTGTATATAAGATTAGGGTCCTCTCTATATGACATTTTTGTGTTGTTGTGTATATAAGATTAGGGTCCTCTCTATATGACATGTTTGTGTTGTTGTGTATATAAGATTAGGGTCCTCTCTATATGACATTTTTGTGTTGTTGTGTATATAAGATTAGGGTCCTCTCTATATGACATTTTTGTGTTGTTGTGTATATAAGATTAGGGTCCTCGCTGTATGACATGTTTGTGTTGTTGTGTATATAAGATTAGGGTCCTCTCTATATGACATTTTTGTGTTGTGTATATAAGATTAGGGTCCTGTCTGTATGACATATTTGTGTTGTTGTGTATATAAGATTAGGGTCCTCTCTGTATGACATGTTTGTGTTGTGTACAGAAGATTCAAAGAATTTATTTATTTTTTTTTTTATTTTTTGAAGGCGCTAACGGTGGAGGAAAAGATGGAGGTACAGGAAAGTCTGGTATGGGAGGCGAAGCAGGAGGAGCCATGATGATGCCATCTGGTAATCTTTGTTTCCGACATCCCTCTGTAATAACAATCAGATAAGATGAATTATGAGATACGTGTTAAGCTGTTTTAGATCCGAAATCATATACAAGAAATTCTGGACAGCGTCCATCACTTTAAGATTCATGCCAATTCTTTTCCTTTTTTCTGTTCTCAGCCTCTTGGTGATAAATCTCTTCCTGACACCACATGTATATATGTAGTTATGATGCTACCTATGATCACCAAAGACAAGTTCTTACAAAATACCTATAAATAGAAACAAAATGAAAAAGTTACCTACTTGGATTAAAGTTCATCTCATCAGATATTTCATCTCTCAATTTTAAATTGTCCATTCTGAATATGGCCCCAATTGGCTTCTCTTTTATCTGCAATCTCTTTTTTACATGACTATAAGTGGTATAGACTGGCAAACATCGTATGCCTAAACAACATTGATAAACTAGTTAACGAGAACCTTCGGCGCTTTCTCTTAACATAAACGCATTGTTAAAAAATTGAAGGAATTTCTCCATGATGTTGCGATTGACATTTTCTCGTTGACGGAAAGTGACGAAGGTTTCCGATTGACTTAACCAAAATTAGGTGAACATTGATTAAGCTTTCATACAATAAACGCTTTTTTTTTTTTTTTGGTCAATGTTTGAATAAGAAACCTTTGTCGTTTTATTGCAGGTGGTATGGGAGGTATGATGGGCGGTATGCCTGGCATGGGAGGTATGATGGGCGGTATGCCTAGCATGGGAGGTATGATGGGCGGTATGCCTAGCATGGGAGGTATGATGGGCGGTATGGGAGGTATGATGGGCGGAGGAAAAGGCGGAATGGGCGAAGGAATGGGCAGTATGGGAGGTATGATGGGCGGTATGCCTGGCATGGGAAGTATGATGGGCGGTATGCCTAGCATGGGAGGTATGATGGGCGGCAAAGGAGGAATGGGCGGAGGAAAAGGTGGAATGGGCGAAGGAATGGGCGGTATGGGAGGTATGATGGGCGGTATGCCTGGCATGGGAGGTATGATGGGCGGCAAAGGAGGAATGGGCGGAGGAAAAGGTGGAATGGGCGAAGGAATGGGCGGTATGGGAGGTATGATGGGCGGTATGCCTGGCATGGGAGGTATGATGGGCGGCAAAGGAGGAATGGGCGGAGGAAAAGGTGGAATGGGCGAAGGAATGGGAGGTATGATGGGCGGTATGCCTGGCATGGGAGGTATGATGGGCGGCAAAGGAGGAATGGGCGGCAAAGGAGGAATGGGCGGAGGAAAAGGTGGAATGGGCGAAGGAATGGGAGGTATGATGGGCGGTAAAGGAGGAATGGGCGGAGGAAAAGGTGGAATGGGCGAAGGAATGGGAGGTATGATGGGCGGTATGCCTGGCATGGGAGGTATGATGGGCGGCAAAGGAGGAATGGGCGGAGGAAAAGGTGGAATGGGCGAAGGAATGGGAGGTATGATGGGCGGTATGCCTGGCATGGGAAGTATGATGGGCGGTAAAGGAGGAATGGGCGGGGGAAAAGGTGGAATGGGCGAAGGAATGGGAGGTATGATGGGCGGTATGCCTAGTATGGGAGGTATGATGGGCGGTATGCCTGGCATGGGAGGTATGATGGGCGGTATGCCTAGCATGGGAGGTATGATGGGCGGCAAAGGAGGAATGGGCGGAGGAAAAGGTGGAATGGGCGAAGGAATGGGAGGTATGATGGGCGGTATGCCTGGCATGGGAGGTATGATGGGCGGTATGCCTAGCATGGGAGGTATGATGGGCGGCAAAGGAGGAATGGGCGGAGGAAAAGGTGGAATGGGCGAAGGAATGGGAGGTATGATGGGCGGTATGCCTGGCATGGGAAGTATGATGGGCGGTAAAGGTGGAATGGCCGAAGGAATGGGCGTTATGGGAGGTATGATGGGCGGTATGCCTGGCATGGGAGGTATGATGGGCGGTATGCCTGGCATGGGAGGTATGATGGGCGGTATGCCTAGCATGGGAGGTATGATGGGCGGTATGCCTAGCATGGGAGGTATGATGGGCGGTAAAGGAGGAATGGGCGGAGGAAAAGGTGGAATGGGCGAAGGAATGGGCGGTATGGGAGGTATGATGGGCGGAAAAGGAGGAATGGGTGGAGGAATGGGCGGTATGCCAGGTATGGGAATGGGAGGTATGGGCGGAGGAATGGACGGCATGGGCGGTATGATGGGCGGTAAAGGAGGAATGGGTGGAGGTATGGGCGGTATGCCTGGTATGGGAGGTATGGGCGGTATGCCTGGTATGGGAGGTATGGGCAGTATGATGGGCGGAAAAGGAGCCATGGGCGGAGGTATGGGCGGTATGCCAGGTATGATGAATGGAGGCGGATCTGGAAGCGGCGGGAACGCTATGGGTAAGTTAATTACTAAATTACTAGGAATTAAGTTTAAGTTTCCGTTTATTAATTTTCTAAACACTTAAATTGATAATATCCATTCACTCTTACCCTGTTCATATAAATCAGAATTATGGACTGGTTCGATATTTACTTCCGTAAACAAAATTATCTGGATATAATCAACACGGCAAATGTATTCCGCTAACGTTTTCAGACCTAACGCCCATATATATATATATGCACGTGCAAGAAAACTATATAACTACAGATTAAATCATCAATGATGATAACAATTATTTCCAAATCACTTCCCGTGTAACTATTTATTTAGAGGATATTAACAATAAATCAACAGTTTAGAATGAAAAATAAAATCTTTCGTCTGTCTGTCGCTTCTTGTGTAATATCTCAGACCATCACGCCACCTAGTGGCGACGTATAACATAGAAGAAATAATTTCCACCTAATTCCAAGTGATCATACGATTGATTTTTTTTATATGTATATAATAGATACTCAAGTGATTTCAGACAAGAAATCAGCAATTTTAAACACCTGTAACATTATTTTCCAGTTCAAGATGATTATCGTGTCTGCCATGGTTTTTTTTCCCAAGATTTTGCCGTTTTCAAAATGACATTCTCAATACTTGCTAGTAAGATCCGGCATATGTCCTAATAACACATTTGCACATTCCAGGTGGTGGAAAGAGCTACTAAGCTGCCGTCGGTTTTGATATCGTCTAGCTGACTGGGTATAACCCATTTCATCTACACTACTAGCGGTCTTTCCTCTCATCGCCCTATGTACCGGCGAGGACAATTCACGTGTACACGGCGGACGAAGCTGTAGAATACTTAAACTGTATATAGATTGTACTGAAATGCAAATCGAAGTCTTATCCTATTAGGGGACATATACGTTACATATATTACTGTTTGTTCAATCATTATATATTTTTTCTTGAAATAAAAAAAATGCACTGTATTGACTTTTGTTCGCGTTTTGAAACAAGATATATATGTATTCATTCATCACTTCGCAGTCTGAAATTCCCCAGCTAGGTGATTTGGTGCCGTAGATCCTGAGTTCGAGACCCGGACAGGGCACGAGTCAAACTTGTCTTCCTTTGTTAATTGTGTTACAATTGATATATATAATTTTATCGTATTTATGAACTGAACAAAGAAGTTTTTAATTATCTTACTAAATTCCTAGTTAAATAACCTATGTCTATTTGCAGGTAAGTACATGGGGGTTGAGCTCACTGTTTTAACAGGTCTATTTATGAATTAACCGTTGTTATATAACTTTTGTAATGAACAGTTTTATCTAATTTACCCCCATTTAATACAATCTAATATAGAATAAATAGTATTTACATTCATTTTCAATAGCAATTTAGAATTAAATACAACAGATTAAAAAAATGAATTAAACTGCATCAATTGATACAGCTGTTTCGTCATTCCAGGACTCGTCAGTTATGCCAAGAGTCCGAAGTAACGAGAAAGAATCTAAGTAAATCAAGATTGGTCAAATGAAATACGCTCGCCCTAAACTCAATCTATTTAATCAATTTCAAATTTCAGATAACTTCAAAAGGGCGTTTCATGTCTATTCAAACCTCTATGTTGAAAGACAGTCTTGTGTATCTGTTAAAACGTGGAATGCCGGTTAATGAATTCGTCCATGTAATATTTTGATATGTGTAAATACCTTCGTATTGATAGTAAAACACAGACGCATGCATGTAGTGGTTAAGAAAGAACAGCCTTCCCTTATTTGTTCATACAGAAACAAGAAACACCGATATGTATTTTGTCTGATGTTGGGCACATAGTTTACATTACTGCATGTATGATAGGGGGGGGGGCTGGTGGTTTATACCAAGGTATGATTAAGGAATATGACTAGGTTTTCTTATTACTGTGTCTTGTTCTACAGTATTCCATTGCTGTGATTTTTTTTTTAATTTTTGAGGGTGTGTGTTGTTTGTTTGGTTTTTTATCACCTTATAGCCGAAGTTGCTGGAATATACTAACCTTAACAATTTGATATCACATGCAAAACATATAAAATGCATAAATAATTATATATATATGTAACACTATTAAGTTTTGTTACAGGCTGTTTACTGCACTGATTAATCAAATAGGCGTGGTCCTTGATCTAGTATACAGTAATAAACAAAGTCACAAACATGGTTTATGTCTACTTTCATTCATCTGAACTTCAAGTGACCTGATAATAAAGGAAAATCTTCAGAAGTCACACAGCATAGATGTTCTGACACAGATTGTGATATTCCGTGTGATAAACATTTAATAAACAAACACATATGCAATTCCTTGACAAACCTGACGTATTGGTATAAAACAATTCCTGAATCAGTATGAGCAGTGTCAAAAACTTTCTCTGCCCCCTCCCCCCTCAAAAAAAATACCCCAAAACCAAACCAAACCAAAAAAAAAAGAAAGAAAGAAAAGGTCCCTCGCTATTTACCCTCTATCTATTTTCGGGTAGAATCACACATATTAGTTGTTTTTATCTTTAGGTCTTTTAACTTACAAGCAAAACACTGTGGGCCTGTGACAAGGCTTACAACATCACAGAGCTCACACTGTAACAAACACATATATCCTAAAACTAACACAGAATATACCGTCATGTCAGCAGAATTATAATCCAAACCCTAATTGAAAAAAGTATTCAAAATATGAACAAAAGAAAGATTTACACAGAGAATCCTGATGTTATACAAAGAAGACATGACCAGGTGTGACAGAAGTGTAGACATCTACGGCTTTATCAATAACACTCGCAAGTAAATAAAACATAGCAGAATGAAAACACCAGGCAAACAATGGAAATATTCACAATAGGGAAAAGAAGAAAACCTCACACTTATTCAGCTTGGTGGAAAGCTTTTCTTGTTGGTTTCATCATAGGAAAAGATGGAAGTAAAGGGCTGATGTAGAAGAGACTGTCATGGAAATTATGTGATTTAATTCTGTCTCTGGTTATTGCACTCAGTCATTCAGACACACAAAAGTCTGTACATTACTTCTTTTCAACATATTTATTATACATCATCATCAATTACATTTAATTCTAGATTTACAAATGCACATTTTATGTGACATACTTAGACTAATTAACATGTACATGTACACCTCATTTGTTCAACTTTTAGATACGAACTACGACTTATAATTGTACAAAATTGTTAAAATTACAGATTAACATATTGAGATTTACTTCAATTTTCCAGTCTGAGTTACATACAACGATTCTTAAAGTGTCGCCATTCTCAAGCATACATATATGTCATTAAATTTAACTTTTACTCTAACCTGAATAATACCATAGTATTGTACTTGGATAAGTAAACTCTGTATCCGAGATGTGTTTGCAAAATTCAAAAGCAAAACAACAGCAAATTTCTTGAATATATCACCTATCTCCAGTGTAGAAATACATAACAACCGAAGCTTGCAATCATTCAGCCTGTAACCATTTTGTTCTATTATAAAGCTTTAGAGTTGAAATGAAGGTTTATCAGTCTTCTTCAGAGAAAAGCATTTTTACCAAATCATCATTAGCGCACTGCTCCTCTTCAAGTTTATTCGGCTGAAATTAAAAGAGTATAAAATCAGGTACAGTCATCATCAAGTAAACATAGTTTTTATACTCGTAAATTATCAATAAATATTTAAAGATAAATTGAATATTTAAAAGAATATTGTATTGGTTTTACCATCATGGGTTTATTTACATGTCTATATGTGTAAGTCTTCTATACCTTTCCCAATATCATCAAGGTAGGAACACACTTCAGTCCCAACTTGGTTCTAAAATCATTTTTCTGGTCTTTCCAACTGAAACAAAATATAAATTTATGATTTTAGTCTGACAGTTAAACACAAATTTTCTCTAAATTCATATCAAGAAGCATCAGTATATATTTCTGAAGTTAGAAGCACAGGAAGTTTCTTGTTATACAGGTATGTTGTAATACCATTGACTCATTGTAAGCAAGATATGTATTTCTTTTTTTCATTTTACACTGCAAGTAGGTGTACATTGTATTTTCACCCTTATTAATGCATGAATTTTGTTTTCAGATTTTATTATGAAAGAGAGTTTTAAAAATGGAAAAAAATTGTGTTGATATAAAAGAAGATTACCAGAATTCAAACAATTCTAGACTGATGAAATATATTTTTCACCTTGTGATTTAAATCAATAAATTTAACAGACATTTACTTACTAGTCTCTGCCACCAACTCCACAATGAATGAATACAGCATCATTTGGGGCACTCGCCACATTTCTCGACACTACAGGATCAGCTACAAATAGTGCATAAGAATACTATTATACATGTTTTATGGAAATGCTAACAGGTTCAAAATCTTCTTAAGTTTTGAAATGTTATTAGACACACTTGTTATTTCCTTTAATTTCAATAAAGAATTGTATTTTTTTTATTTCTCATACAAAATATCAAAAACATCAGGACATGATGTGATGTCTTCATAGCTCCTTGAATATAAATGCACTAATGTACACAATAATAGACCATTATATAATTCATAAGTAAATAGCAATTAGTAACAGGGATAATGCTCGAGAAACATTTGAGTATGAATAGAAGAAGAGGGAAAAACTAGTTGTTCTATAGTAATATTTTGCTTTGTGTTTGTTTTTTTTATTCGTTTTTTTTTTCTCTTTTTTCCCCATGCCTATAAGGACAATTTTACAACTTCTACCTCATACATTTTCCCTTATTATGACCCTTTTCATTACTACATCCTTCTCTCTCTTTTCTTTTTTTCTCTCTCTTTGGTAGCAGTTATTTTTTACTAATCATAATTAGGGTTCTATGTTCTGTTTGTTATGTCTCTCAGTGTAAAAGTGTTTTATTAAAGTAATCAAGTGATGATATGTGCATACGATGATGCTGATGATGACGTCATCCACGTGACGAATGTGTATGTAAGGGTATGTGAGTGTATGTTACTATCCTGTGCTGTGTAGTTATACATTACTAAAAATCTCAAAAGAAACAAAAAACCTAGAAAAAAAAGATTTCTAGGCAAACCGAAAGTACAGGAAGTTTATGTTTCAATTAGAGTAGCCTCCCCTACACAACATCTGTTACCTACCAGCCACACAGTCGGGGCACCAGTTTTTACCCTCGTCATTCACGGAACCTGAAAAGAGTGCAAATATCGTCTTGCCCTTGTGTTCCTCTGCCACCTCTTCAAACTTTGTGATACCCTCAACATGTACCTGTATCACCATGCTGAAATGTGATTCTGCTAATCGTCCGCAGGTAAGTGTAGAGACTCCCACCGTGTTATCTTTGCATCTACTTCCGGTCTGTCTAAATATTTTATGAAAGCACGGAAAATGGATATCCGGTTTTTTTAAAAAACAAAATGGTAACGACATATGTTAAATAAGGTTTTCTCGTTGAAAGTAGAGTTAGTATTAATTAGTCAAATTTCAGAAGTAGAAAATCGACCTTGAATAAAGGGATCAAACAAATTGATACATACATATGTGTGAACATGAGACCACGATTTAATATACATTACATGATTGAGACACATCAGCACGACGATATAACAGTGTTATTAATTTGTAGTTTAAATTTAAATTATAATCCTCCCACTAAACTAATTCTACAAGATCTTGTAATGAAACAACTTAAATATATGTATATATTTGACACTGGAAAACAACATAGGGATTCTGGATGTATGAGGAAATCAAAGGCAAAGCATATGACATTTTTGACGTTCGCTGCCTTTGATAGTGCAGTGAGTGTTAGCAAGGGAACTGGATTCTGTCTCACAGGCATTGTTCCTGCGGGGTCTCTCTCTCTCTCTCTCTCTCTCTCTCTCTCTCTCTCTCTCTCTCTCTCTCTCTCTCTCTCTCTCTCTCTCTCTCTCTCTCTCTCTCTCTCTCTCTCTCTCTCTCTCTCTCTCTCTCTCTCTCTCTCTCTCTCTCTCTCTCTCTCTCTCTCTCAGTTAAACTGGCCTTAACTTAACATTAGAAATACGTTTGAAAGTCACAAGTGTAGCTTATGAAGATCCCTGACTACCCACTGCTTTACCGCTCAGGGGCCTAGCAAGCCCAGCAGAAATGTGTAAGTCAAGGTGAGGGGTCTGAATTTCATGATTTCAAAGACGTTTTGAATGGTTTTCTGAGAGTTTTTTTTTATTTATTTAACAACAAACTTCAACCCCTGATATCTGATAGCTGCAAAGATGGTATGATATCTATTTTCAACCTTAGTTTTGTAATTTTGTCCGACATACTCTATGCACGGACTTTTTATATTTGTAAGCCCGTGCTTTCTATGGAAGCTACGCCCCTGCCGCTGTACAGTATAAGTTCTGAATTATATGATCCATGGCATGGGTCATAATTGATAACACAAATAAATATTGAAAATACTGTGACTGTTCAGTATATCTGTCCACTGATAAAAGGGCTATCAGCAATATTGTGTACATAAAATTGCCTGACATCATAAATTCAATGTCTCTGGCACGATCAAAGCACACATTAGCAACCCGGACTGCTATGTCTTAATACGTGACTCCCTACTTTTGGAACCACTTTCTTTGATTTTTCAGACCCGAAATTAATATTTCAGCTCGTTACTTGACCTTAGAAATATATTTTATTATTTCAATATCAAAGTAATTGAAATAAATTCAAGGAAATTGAATCTAAATGTCAATGATTTTATACTTCTGGAAACACTAAAACGTTAATCACAACCAACCGAACTTAAAATTAGTAACTGAAAAAAAAACTGCATTCACGGTATACTGCATTATTTGACGCGGCAGTGCTCACACCAACAAATTTAGCCCTTTTGGCGTTCACATTTTGAACTAATGGTGAGGTCGACATTTCTTCAGAGAGGGGATGTTTGTTCTCCTTGCTTTCCTCAAATGGAGGAGGGTTCAGAATGGAAGACACTTTAGCAGTGATGTCATCATTTGACCGTTTATATTTACGCATTGCAGTTTGTGACCTGTGACCAGTACGGTTCATTATCTCCTGTTCATCAACCCCTGATGCCAACAGTTGAGTAGCGCGTTTGCCGCTATGAGTGAAATTGGATCGCCACAAATCACTTTAACAATAAAACTCCTCAGTTTATTTCTTCCAACTGTTTGACTGCCAAACCGAATCTGTGTTTCTCGGGGGAACCTGGTAATGGTTGTCTATAAAACGGTCCTTTTTCTCCCATAGCGAGGAGGTAAGCACTAAAATAGTCGGCGATGCACCGGCTACCTGTATATAAATAGAATGAGTCAGTATTTAATGTTAATGTCTTATCGACAGCTAAGGTGACTCAAGTACAGCGTAAAGTGTGACAGTAATACCGAATAATCTTCAAATACTTGAAACCAAAGAGAGGTATTTTTAGCGACAAAAAATAATCAACTTTTAAAATGCGAAATGAAGTTTCCCAATGCATTTGCAACACTTCTTATCAATTATTAATTACATTTGTGCAGATCTGCTGAAATCACAGCATTAACTTACATACATTTTCACTGCACATCTTCTCTTCATCGCTTACGGTTAATGGGATCCGCTTGCCCCACAGCACAGCCGATTCCTTGGTCTATCAAAAGTTTTGTGCGTCCATCAAGGACTAGCCTAAAAACGACGAATTCTTTATTCTTTTCCTCCTGAAAATTCTTGTCAAATATGTTGTTATCGCGCGAGTGTCTGTATAGCTCACAGGCGATCAGGTACATGCTCTTTTGGGATACTCCGTCCTGTCGTCGGGTTTCTGCTATGAATCGCTGTAGATGATATTCCATGCTGATAGCATCCATGTCCAGAATACTATCACTTATACCTCCTTCCTTTCGCCATTTCTCGGATACGTTTGGTATTTGTCTTGGTATTAACATTTTCTTGTGCATTATCAGATCAATCAAATCTTCATCAGATACCGCAGACGCAAACCTATTGCTGTCTGCTTCTGGTTTAGACATGGCAATTTCCTGCTCTTCATATATATTTAATAAATCTGTAGGTAATTCCAACAAAAATTACCCATTTCTACTTATTTGCCTCCTGCTTCATGTTCGTCCGTTTCATATTTTGATACAGTTTGAGACACCAACAGAGACTGTAAACGTTCAAATATATTATCTCATTTTCGATGTTCTCGCATGCGTGAGAGAGCATTAAATCGTCTAAATCCTCTTTCTCTTTCTCAAAGCCATTTTTTGCAAATTACCTTGCAATCTGACCTCAAGTCCATCTTCCCACGCGTTCCGGTACTGATGCAATCAACATGTGAATCATTCTATCTTGACTGGTAAAAAGGAGGACATGATTAGATGACCAAATGCGTACCAAGTGGGCGTATTATGTTACATAACATTTATTGCAATTTCGGTATCTGATTGGACAGGATGATCGAAATTTAGCTATGGCTGACGCTACTCGTCATTCCACACCCTTCCTGTCTATTTCAAATACCAAAATTGTAAAACAGTAAAGAATGAAACAAATATTACACAGAAAATATTTCTGCAATAACATTGTCCATTTATTACATTTTTATGAGATATTTTAGTTATGATCAGTTAAATTTACATAAAATATTTTTATACAAGATAAATTCACAAAATGCAAAAAAATTGAACAAACGCATAAATGAATTATTACTGCAAGTGTTAAAAGGTCTCCCTTCGCACCAGACAAGTCTGGATTCCCGTCATTTTTTTTCTACTCTCCATTAGACGTCGCTTCGAAAATAAAACGACTGATCAGGACTATTAACTCGTTTTGATTGATTGGATTGTCTGGGTTAGAGAGAGCTCGTTAAAATCGATGCATTCCTACACTGCTTCTACACTGCTTTATGAACTTTTGACATGGATTTTGTCGGGAATATGTTGAGACCCCCTCCCGCCATTCTGATTTTATAAGCAACGTTGGAACCTAGTGGCCTGTATTCTAAAATTGTCTTATTCTTATGAACTTTCATATTCAACAATTATTAATTTTTATCGAACCTAAAGGAATTGGCTCCAACCTCTTATCTAAGGGTCTGAACCGAACATATCACGTTCTATGGAGAGATCTGACCGAAGATATTACCGACAAAAATATGCATCTTTTTGGAGTGGAATCTATCTCTTTGGCTCCCATAATAATTATTTTTATTCTTTTTGGTCTGCAAGGACCATACCTCCAACAGCGTCATGGCAGAGTTTAAGACGTGTTATCGTGCTCATATTTTTTTTTTTTTTTTTTTTAACAATTTTACAGTTACCCCACGTACAATATTTTGCACATGATCTCTCGAGACTGCACTTGGTCATGTTGAATCTCCGTTTTTTCCTAGAAGTAGAACTTCTGGAAAAAATAGCTCTCAAAATCTCCTCTTTTAAAACGCTTTACATATTTCGTGATCTACAGGATGAATCACCTATTTTCTCAACAGGGTATTTTAATATTTTAAATACTATAAAAAACGTTTATGTTCTATCTTTTGTGAACTAAACCAACTAAAGTATACTCTGAGAGTTAATACTACAGTTGATCCCATCCCAACATAGAGGAAACACGATTGACCTACATTGAACTTTTACTGACTTTTCCTGTATCTTAGAGTCCTGAGGCCTACCCCTAAAAGGCGATACAGTTTGCCTTCCATACAGATAACGCACTTAAGAAAAGAAAATCAGAATTTTGTGAATAAAACATTATTCCTAAAGATGGAGGATTTCAGCTGAAAATTGAACTGAATGCTACGAACTGTTCAGAGTAGAACTTCATGCTGTCACCAAAACCATCCATTGAGAATCATCTTTGTAGGCAATTTATATTACTTAATGGGAAACAAAAACATCATCCTCATTTTATATCATATGCGGTGATTACTGTTATGCCTCTACTGACTGATATCAACCAAGGTAGTTGAAACCGGAGACAACATAAGATCTTTTATTCCCTTATCCGTAAACAAAGAAACAAAGAATAAACATACCTTACTGTGAATGACAGACAACTCACACCAGAAGAAATAACTGATGCCGGCCCTCTCACTTTGATTACATTCACCTGAAAGGCATTCAAATACACTGTCAAATAATATTTAAGCTATTTGTGAAATATGCATTAAAGAACCAACAACAATTACTCTCAAGGAAGTAAATAAAAGTGAAAACTTAACAACAAGGTCCCTGATGATAATGAATTCACGAGCAAACACCTAAGTTTTACAAGCTCTACGAACACTGACTAAATAGTTACACTGTGCTATCCCTGCCTATTGCAGGAGAAAATGCCACCTTCACTCAAAAAAAGACAATCTTGCCATCTACAATAGTATTGCTGATAATCGGTCAACCCGAAGACTTTTGAACATCCTGAACAGTAAACATCACTAAAACTTCAATATAAAAAAATTAATATCAGCTGTCTGGATTCACAAAGGGCACCTCCTCTATCACATATGCAGTTGTCACAGAGTGCATCCTAGTGGCATAGTCACAGAGAAAGATTTTTTACTAACATCGTTCCTCTTGAAAATCTTCGATGTTGTCAGGCATGAAGTACTTCTCCACAACCTTTACCATGATGGCATTCAAGAGACAGACTGGATCATAGTGAAAGACATTAAATGACATCAGATGGAGAATGGGACTGTCAGCAGCCATTGAACTGAAATACGGAATGCGACAAGGAGGACCAAGAAATTTAATAATCTGTTACTCCGGTACTCCTTGGAAATGCATACATACCCCTTGTTAAATGTGCTGATGACTTAATCCTGCTCTCATATACCGACCTAGATATTAGAGGCGCGAGGAACAATTCAGTGATAAAAACATATATAGAATTAACCTAACAAAAAGCGCAATTCTTCAATTTAACTGCAAAAGTGAAACTACCTACACGGATATCCTATTCCAGCCTCATCCTTGGAGACCAATCTATGAATACGAAGACAAACTAGTAGGGCAAGGCAAGTCTTAGACAGAATTAGCACAGGTCGGAAAACTTCATATCCTCTCTTAGAACCAGAAATGCAAGGGAAAACTGGAATTAGCCAACAATTAAAAGGGCACATCTGAGAACATTTGTTGTCTTTAGAATCGTCTATGACTTTGATATCTCGGCCCTAACACAAGCAAACTATTAAGGTCTGGAGAGCTTTCAATCAAAAAGTTAAAAAAAAAAAATCCAACGTCCACCCAATCCTACACCAACAGATGCTGTGCACGTTTTAATGGATATTATGTCGATAGCCTGTGTCCTCCACAAAAACCTGATTAATCTCTTCTATAATATTCTACAATTACCAGACTCTTTAGCGTTCAAGATAGCTTCACGACAACTTGCGATCAAGCACGTTACTGACAAGAGTATGTACAACACGTTAAGGAGATTGTTAATCCAGTACAACCTTCCATCCGCCTATGGTCTAATGAGCAAACCACTGGACAAGCAAAAGTGGAAGAAATTAATTAAATAAACCATTGAAAGAGAATGGAAAGAAGGGGTAAGCCATCACTTAAATAACTAAATTAAAAAATACTGAACATCGGCAAGACCATTTTATCTATTAGTATTTGACAAACCGTTCAATCCAGGGGGACATGTAGCGAGGGGAAACAAAAGCAAAATTGCTAACTGGAACATGCATCTACCGATCGAACGGGACAATAAATACCAAGAAAATGAGTTAGCGTCTTCTGCTACAACGACGACACCCGCCATGTAAACCTTGGTCAATCCAAGTAAGTTATTTTACGTTCTCAAATGAGAACAATGTATACAACAACGAAACCAACAGACAAACTAACGAGCATCAAATACGTCCAGCTTCATAAAAAATAGAATATTTCTCAAAGAGATCACTATGACAGCAATAAAACTTCCCGATAATTTCCATCAACCTGCATCATTTGAACCATTGTGTAACGAGCTTGTCAGCAAGTTGACAACTTCTTGCTTGGTTGAACAGTGAATGTGAATCCAATTTCAACTCGGAAACCCTTACTAACTACTGTATATGCACGTCAGTTCAATATACTTCACATTGGTCATTTGTCTGATGATGTAGACAGTGTAATCATCGAAATGTTACACAAAAGTTTCAAACTGGTTGTGATATATGAAAAATACTTGTTACCAGCCTGAGGAAAATGTTTCGAGACTTTTTGTGTTTTACTTGGGTTATTTTTACAATTATTATTATTATTATACTCAAAACTATAGACATCAAGCGTAGCACACAGATAGATACTACACTTTAGAGTTACAGTAAAATATGGATGAAGACAAATACATTTCCCTGAATTTTGATGTCAGTTGATTTCTTGTTATGCAGATAATGACCATCTAATAAAACCTGTTGTTTTTTTCTTTTCTTTTCTTTTTTGATATTTTTTTCTCTCGTTAAAATGATATTATTTATCATTGTTTGTTATTGAAGAAACGAATATTAGATATTTGGAATACTTTGGTTTTCACTGTAAGTAACATCTTAAATCAATTATTGTTTCTCATAATGTTGAAGACGCTTTACGACGCTTGTTGTCACTTGTTGACACTTTTAAGATAGATCCGAAGAAATTTACCCGAAGCCTTACCGAGGTAAGGATGGGTGGCAGCATTTGTTAGTTCCATTCCCTGACATTCAGTTTATAAATCGCTGCATATTACAAGATTTCTCCAGTTTTAAGTAATTGGTCACTTGCATGAGCTGTTTGTTTTAACGCCTGGAATAAAGTGTCATCCACCGATGTTATGTTCTAAAGTTACGACCTTCGCAATTATTAATTATTGTTTTTCAATTAATTGATTTTTAGTTTCTTTATAGCTACAAAAACTGCAGGTTTATATCAGTCTAAATGTTAATGTCATTCGTATTAAACAGTATGAGTATTAAGAATGTAAAAGAAAAATTGTACTCTGAAATGCCTGAAATTAAATATAGTATCCCACAATACAAAAGTCTCGCTTTCAAAAAATCTTTTAAAACACTTTAGGGTAAAAGGATCGTGTTTCTCTTCCTCTTTATGATGACAAAAGTATAAAAGGGATTTTATATTCCTATATGGTGCAATGTTTTATTGCCACACAATATATCAATTTAGACATAGAGACAGACAAACGATTTTAAGATTTGCTGCCATACATATCACTCCCACGCTTAACGGGTACTCACCTTTTGGATTATAGGAAAGTCTTTCATTTTGTACTAGACATGGACCTCGACTTGTGAGACAACTGCGATACTGATTAATGGCTGTTTTGTAGTAACAAAGGTCCGGAGAAACGAAAACTGAACATATTTTCAACTGATTTTTTTTATCTATATTCTAAGAGCGTAGATCTTAGTGAGACATACACTGCAAGTCACTAGTTCAATGAGTGTGAAATATGAGACAATTGATTCTCCATTTTCTTTTCGTGAATTTTTGTTTGTTTTTATTGTTTTTTCGCGTTAAACATCCATGAAACAACCAGGGTCATATGAGGACGGATGGCAATAGGCGCAAAGAGCAATGTAAGAATCTAGTAAGGAAACAAAGAGCAAGCAGGAAAGAAAAGAACAGAGCAGGATCCTAAAAGTTGATTTTTACTATTTTTTATCAATTTCTCTTAACCTATTACGGCAGATTTGTCACTGAAACTTCACGCGGATATTACCTGAAACCACCAAGCAAATATAAAAAAATTCTTTTCAATTAAAAAAAGCAACCAAGGCTTTTAGTTAGCCCGATGCTGACATAACGAGTTCTTGTTCAGCTGCAGACAATGATTATTTCATAATTAATTTCTACATAGTTTTAAAGTTTCTTGTCCTTTTACAACGCATCTGAGGAAACCATTGAGAGATTACGCTTTCTTGAAAAAACATATTTATTTGTTATTTGCGTGATGGTTATTGGATATATTCATGTGAGTGTTTATAGGCAAATAACAGGCCAAGAGAGATTGGAAAAGATAGTAGAAAGCAAAGACCTAACATCATGTGTGAAATTTCTGTATTGGGTACCTGTCGCTAATGTAGTCCAAGGATAGTCGAGAGTATAAACTGCGATAGTGACGTAAAGTACGGAAAAACAGAAACAGTAAATATTGGCAACGACATAAAAATGGTCCAATCCACCACTGCGAACGTTCATATGTTTCCATGGTTTTTCTGCGATATTTCAACAGAATCGTATCAATCATCTAGCGTCTAATTGAACACCGACAATAATTTTTCTAATGTCTCTCCTTGGAGGGGAATAATATGCATCTTATTTTGGTTCCTGTTCTGTCTTCGTGCTGTAAATGCAAACTTTCGGCGTGTTAAAGATAATTTAAATAAATAAACATAAAAATAATTTCTGTGATGAGAAATGACTTGAAAATTAACTTTCTTACCACAATGTAAGCATTCGGCATCAAAGAACATATATTGCCAAATGCAACAAAGTCTTGCTTTACGTTGAGTTCATGTAATGAATTTATTCCTGTCAAAGACAACATGCGCACGAGATTTGTGTTGTATAAATCATTTCCTGATCTAGCAGTTGTCTACGGCCGTATCCTGTGATGATCTGATAAGTACATATTGTAAATATTCTCTCGACAGCTGAATGGATTGGTTCTGGTATTGCTCTACAACAATATCATTTTACTGTTTTCAGAGAAACATAGATGTAAGAGCATGGCCAGCTTTGGAATGAAAATGACGATTTCCATGATTTCAAAGAAATTTGGGTCCGTGAAAGATATCAACACAGAGACTCTTCATGACTGGACGAAAAACCATGTCATACCCAGTGAACTTTCTTTGAAGCACAACATAAGTGGTGACAAAGGAAATTTCGGGGACGAAAATACGGAAGGTACCTCGTCGGATCAACAAGTACAGGATACCAGCGACGCCCGAAGGAAACTCGTCATCTTGGTAAGCAAGTTTCCACCACTCCAGTCTGATCTCTACACCAAAATTTCTTTTTCGTTTTACAGATCAGATGCACGACTTTGTTTCGTGGTTTGTGAATTACCTTTCTGCAGACTGAATCAAGCAGAAAGATAATCATAAATTTACTTCACGATCGCCTTTTCAAGTCGGATCAGGGAATACTTTACAGACTAATCTTTACTCGGGTTATCTATAGCAGTCTTTCAGTTGTTTTTATTTGAAGAAGTTTGGGTGTGACTGCACAAAAAGGGAAATAATTTTCCTGTATTCGTTTTGCTTTGATGGTCAAATATTGCCACGTCGTATAAGAAAAACCAGTAATATATTATCTTTCTGTTTTAAAAGTATCCGCGTAAATCTTTTTTTTTCGCGCGGGCTCGATTTCCTTTTGAGTTTTGTTGAAATGTTGATAATTTCTTGATGTTGATGTTACTAAAAAAGACTACTGCACAAATTGTTTCGAAAAGGAAGATGATCGAAACGTGCCGCTCGAAGGCTGGTTATAAAGAGTTAATTTAATAGTAAATGAACAATCTCTTCATGTTTAAAAGAAAATCATAAAAAAATAATTAAAATTTCAAATAAATTATTTTTGTCCAGTATAAAATGAATTATTAGAACCACTGGTTCGCAGAAGCAACAATGTTTTAATAACCACTCAAAAATGGACGTCAAGCAGTGATTGACGTAATTATTTGATGTTTTTACTTTATTGAATGGTTCCTATGAAAATCACTCCTAATGTCAAAAAATGTTTTTAATGCTGATAAGTTATTTAATGTTGAACATTGAGAAAATACTGTTCTGTGTATCATAAATAAGGAGAACTTACAAGTTTATTAATTTATTTATTTATGATAAACAAAATTTAACAGTTATGTAAGAAAAGGGGTGGCAAGTAAGATTACACGATCAAGCTTTTCCAGTTTCACTTGCAAAATAAACATTCCTTTTCGAGATATTAATTGTTAAATTGGGTACTTTGGCTAAAAGGTCTAAATAATTGTACACAGGACTGTCGACCAGATGAAGAGTACGTAATCAGTCATCTGGAGGGGTCAGTGAGAGTTGATTTCGACAAGGATGTAGACCAGATCGTCAAGTCATTACCGGAATATCTTCAACCAGGTGAGAAGTTGATATAGGAATGACTCAAGAGAAATTTGTGTTTCTTTCATGTGATTTCTGAACAAGGATTAGACGTTGTCATTTATCTGTTGAAATAAACAAAGCAAGTCGCAATGAATTTCCTTACTCGGAAATGAAAACAAACTTCGATAATGTGATCATGAATTCATCCGAGTACTAACGACCTCATTATCTCTAAAACCTACAAGTAATAAAACAACATCGTTGTTAAAATTATACATACTATAGTATCTAGATGGAGCTTATCAACCCCGTTCTTTTACATATTGATATTAACGCATCACGAGAAGGCTTGCGTAAGCAGAAGTATACGGAATAATGCGTGATATTTGCTACCTCCCAAACTTTATCTGAGTGAAAATTTTTGTTGTTGTTCACGTTGTCAATGACACCAAAAGGGCGCCACCTTAAGCTTCTGTTAAAATATGGCTGTTCAAATTAAAACACCGGTACTTCAGGCAATTAATTTTTGAATGTTTTAGGAAAATTTATAGTTGATTATTTTCTGCGGTTGCATGTAAAAGTAAAAACATATTCTTAAGTTTGTGTGACCGAAGTCATGACATAAATTTCGCAGTGAAGTAATGCGATTCACTGGAACAAATTGTATCCGTGTTCGTTAATCACGACATCCTTGGTTTTTGCATATTTATCGGAACTAAAAATAATCTTTTTATTACACAGATGAAGGAGCCGTTATAACAAAGTAACCGGGGATGTTTTAATAAAATAATTGTCAGACTGATGACTTCATTATTCAGATAACATAATATGAATGTCGAAAAACCCTTCCTAGATTGGTTTATGTCTGGTATTGGCAGTGTAGTTGACCAAGTCAAATGTTGAACTCATATCAAAGACCAGGGGACACGCCTAGGATGATATACCTGACCTAAAGGCACCGAATCAATATTAAACCCAGACTTGCAATTTCGGGAGTGGGTGGTATCCATCCTGGTGATAATTTAATTTGTAAATAATAAAATTTGTAAATGATGGTAACTAAAATATAAAAATGTTGTTCTTAAAAGATAGTAATGTACAGCGCCTTATAACGGAACCTTCAAAACATAGACTAAAGCAAAGTCCCTTTACAAACGCGTACAGAATAAAAGGAAAACCCAGGGAATCCACCTCTATGTATCCTCATTATGATCGAACATATTTTATAAGATCAAACAGTATTTGTGTTACATATATTGAAATAAAATTGTTCATGAATTTGGAATTTGCCAACGATGAAGAATAGGTAGAATGTAACAGTTTTACGGTAAAGACGAATGACGCAGGTAAAATTTTGTGCACATATCTATATGCATGTCTTTTCAATTGGTATTTTCCAAAAGAAAAGGTTCAGTTACAGTACAATAAGTGCATTCATTCGTTATTACTCATCGCTCTTCCAGTTAATGGACTGAATGACATTCCCATTCTGATCATTGCAAATACAGTTATAAGAATTTATTATATATGATTAAATATCTCATAGAAATAATAAACGACAAAATAGCGAATGCAAAGACCCTTTGTAGTCCAGTATTTAGCAAAAACGTTACTGTAAATTTACTAATTTGGGCGGAATCAAATTTAAGAGCATTTTTTAATAAATAAGAGCAATGACGATATAGGAACTGCGATAAGCGCAATAATATTTTAGCGCAATATCTCAAGCGCAAAAAAGTGCTAAAATGATATTACCGCTAAAAGTTGTGTGTATACAGTATGTATATATATATTTAATTCAGTCGCTTTGCTTTTCAGTTGAGAACCTTGCAAATACAGATATTGTGTGTTATTGTTCCTTGGGATACAGATCGTCTATAGTCGCGGATAAGTTCCAGAAATACCTGAAAGAAAACTCAGGTGAGATGAATTATATCGATGTTCTGTGAGATATTTGGCTCCGAAACAATTTTACGTAACATAATCCTATAAGTGACTTCATATTATGTCGAAAGTCAAATGTGATCTAAATCAATGCAAAAGTTATTCTATTAAACGAATTAGGCACCCGGCGATCAGGACACATACGAACTCGTTCGCCGAAGTAATATAAACAGTATGAATGGGTTCCGGAAAGAGATATAATATTACATATCGTATCACTGACACTTCGCCCACAGATGAATATACTTCAGGAATAGCCAACCTTGTTTACTAGGTTAAGTACAAAATGTATCGGCAAATGATTTAAGGGAACTTTTTTCATTCGGAGGAAAAAAGTAACAATGATAGAACTGAAGATCAAATATGGTCATTGGACCAGAAGAATGACGAAGATATGCACAATCGTGATAACATAATGTCTGTATTGTGGCGATTATAACTTCGAGCATGACGTCTTAAACGAACCTCTAGTTAGAGGGAGCACAGCGAATTTCCATTTTTTGTCACAAATGGAGTTACTTCGTTTGTCGTTTTCCATCGTGATCGATTTTATCGATACTTTTGGTGATGTTCCATCACGAATCGATGAACTCAACTGTCAGCCATGTGTTTTGGTTTGTAAATTACATTTTACAACAACATGACTCCGCCTGTTCGTATATTTTCGTAATTCAGGTCGAATGATAATTTATAATATCTTTAAGGCACAAGCAAAGAAATTTGATTGGTTCAAGGAGAAAAAAAAGACAAATCACAGGCTGATACGCTCCTTTTAAAGATTACAGAGAAGTGACACCCAAGTTCAAATCCATTACAATATGCCCTTGTGCGACCTTGAGATTCGTTTGATGTACACGTAATGACCAAACTAGTCATTTCATCTTGCCAACAAGGTGTCGTACATGGAACCCTCAATTCTGCCATGAAATGTTCCAGTGGTGGAGAGAGTAAATGTGGTGATTGCAACCTCTGGAATATCGGGGATGACATAATATATGAATATGTAACTGGTATATATTCTTTAAGACATTATGAAGGAAACTTTATTGAAATCAAATGAGAAGTGGGTTGAATACACTTAAGATCACCTAGTGAAAAATTTAACATTATACCGGTAAATACTTTGCTATGACATTATGAAGCAAATTTGATCAATTAAAATTTACCGGAAGTAAACATCAGTGAGTTGAAGGTCATGGTCAAATATTAGATTTGTTTACGGAGAGATACTTGGTTAAGGCATTAAGAACAAGATCCAACTGACACATTAAAGTGCATGATCACTTAGGTGTCAATGTCAGTATTTTATTTCTTATCTGATGGGTAGTTTTCTCTAATAATATCGCATCAAAGCTGACATGAAGAGCCACTTTGAAGCAGGTTAATATCAATCATCCCATCACACACAATTAACCTCTATCTATCTCGCGGTTTTAATGCCATTGAGTATGTTAGCAGGAATTCTTCGTCGATGTAACCCAATAAAGACGGTGTTTTGAACTAGTAAAACATTGCAGGGCACTTTTTGAAATGTCACTACTCTAGTTATGTATAGTTGAAATGTCAATTAAGGTCAGGTCAGTGTTTCTTTAATACCTTTTTTATAAAAAGAAAAACTTGAAACAGTTTTTGTATCAATTTTGTATTTCACCACAGACAAATCTCATAGTGACTTATTGCAATCGATATTATTCCGGCGTCTTGAATCCAAAACTTTTAACATTGTATACTTCTTCTGGAAAATCCGTAAACTGATTTCAGTGAAATTTTGCAAAAGCTTTCCATGACCAATACTAATTCAGCAATGTGATTTATATGGTTCCCACCCAAAAAGGTGATAGAGGCCAGGCCAAAAGTAGTCAAATTGACTCACATTTCAAAACTATTCTTCTTAATACTCATATATATGTCAAGAATGAAATATAATTTTCGGTGAATAGATGGAAGAGTCTTAAAGTACTTTACCAAAGTTGTAAATTTTATGACCACAGGTTCTCACATTTCCCAGTGGGGAAGGGATAACGTTTGGTCCTTTGCCATTAACTTGGTTTAAATTATTAGCTCAGGATGAACGTTTGACTATATGCTCATATTGATGCTGGTTCGCCACAGGGGCGATGGTAAAAGCCAAAATTGGTAAGATCGATTCCTCAACATGGGTTGTCTTGTATTATTTTGCACACTTTTGAATTTGATCTTATTTTGTTAACAAGATGCTTTCTATGATATATGTTAAAACACCAACAACAACATAGAACTCAAGTGACGGTTAAGGCCATCTGGCCTCCTGTTTACCTCGGTAAAAAATGAACTCGTTCAAAATAACCACTTTTATAGGCTCATAGGAACTTTCCATTGAGTGTCTATTCAATAAAAAGGTATTAACAGTGTTTGGACACGAAGTATGCATATGGTATGCTTAATTATGTAACTCTGTTAGAATAAGGATTGGCACGCTTTTGAATCAGTGATTAACGCATTAGGACTAAATGTTATATATATTTCATTGACAGGTTCACTTCCTTCCGGTCCCGAGTTCCCTGCCGCGGTTAATTTAGAAGGAAGTCTGTTTAAGTGGGCGAACGAAGGTCGCCACATGGTGGATAGCAATGGACAGAAAACTAATTTCGCTCACCCATACAGTGTTGTATGGGGTAAACTGTTGCATGCTGAACTCAGAAAAGAGAAATTGTAATGAAGATAGTAACAATATTCTTTATTTCAGCGCATCACTTGTGGTGAACCTCAATGGCAAAACGACAGAAATGCGGGCAATCATGACATGAACATGACAGGCAAATCCTAACGATATGGTGAAGTCGTGTTCTATCAGATTTTTTTTTATGACAAATGGAATGAATTTGATTTTTACAGAAAGTGATTGAAACTTTTCAAAACAAAATCTTTTCTTAATTTTTGTATTACAAAATGAATATGTAAATGAATGTGAGATGAAATCATTGACTCATAGAGCCATATCGTTGTATAGGCCCATACAATGCTGATTATGAAAGATATTTGTTGATGAAACATAAATCTGTTACATATGATATCCAGGTGTTATATTCTTCTTTCAGTTTTTAATTCACTGTCACCAGCTTATCACAAGCGTTGGATGGCGCCCTGGGATAAATGACTTGAATAATTATGCATTAAAATCAACTTATAATTTGTCGATATACTTGCGTGAGCACGTGATAGAATGTGTCTAGACCGCAAACGGGCAAATATGACTACATAATACACGAAATAAAAAAAAATGTTAACGGAGAATAAAGCAGGACAAGTTATTACTAGTGATCATTTTTTGTACTAACACTATAAGAGATATCGAGTCTCCTCCTCAGTATTCCATCCCACTCTTTGACTTTTCAAAAATACTTAACACGTACAGTGAAGGCGGTAGAAACATCGGTGGTTCCAACAACATGTGTGTTTGAACTGCTGTTTTAAATTAGCCTCAATGCCAAAATTTCCCAAATTAAACTTGGATAAATCTAGACGTAAAATACATTTTCCCAAAAAACTATGGTTTTTCAAATTAACATACCCCTTACACTCCATAAGCAAGCCTTACACTTTATAATGCATTTTCAAAACATCGGAATGTGGATAAGTTACATAAGGTCAGTATCCATTTGTTTTTATAACATTAAAGGACTTTATTAATGAGTTCAGAGTGGCACACAGCTATGGAATAATGAATAATGACCTATTCGTGGAAACCAAAGCAAAGTAACATAGCACGATCAAAACACTAATATACAGCCGGTTGGATGGGACTCAAAATGGTGTCGGAAATGTCCGATTCGTTCATGGATATATGCAAATTACGAAATTCATTAAATTACGCGGCTAGTACGTCTTCCCATCAACACTTTAAAATCACTTGCGGTCACTTTTGATTTTTTTAATCGCCTCGAAGGCTTCAAAACTTAGTTTCTTGGCATCACTGATGGGTCCTTAAGGAACAAAACAGTTTTTTGATGCAGTTTGATTATTTATCTCTTCTGTATCTTTTTCTAAAGTAGTAAGACCACGAAGGGTAATATGGCTCTATCACGGATTTGTTTTGAATTTTGGTATGTGGTGATTACAACCTCTGGTGTATCGAGGAAGACATAATATATGAATATGTTACTGGTACATATTCTATAGAACATTATGACGAAAACGTTATTAGAATCAAAGGACCCGAAGGGTCCAGATGACCTATAATCATCGTGCTTCTTTCGTCGTCGTGCGTCTTGCATAAACTTTTTCTTTAAAACTCTATTCTCTTTCATACCTGGATGGATTTCAATCAAATTGGTCTGATGCATCATTGGATGAAGGTTCATTATTTCCTCAATGGGTCAAGTGACGGGGCCTCAAAGGGGAAGGTGCTGAAGTTAGATTTAAGACCCTACTCCTCCTTTCTACCTGTGTGGATTTCAACAAGCTTTGGGTCTTATTCATCAGTTAGGGTAGGCAATTATTTCCTAAATTCAGAAATTTGATTTGTCTGCGCTCCCTAAGGGGAAAATAATACTAAAATTTGCTTCAAAACGCTACTCCATTTTAATGGTGAAATGGATTTAAACCAAATTTGGTGAGTGAGGAATCCTTTCTTAGATTCCGAAACTTGATTTGACCCCCTAGGGACCTGGGGGTAGAGGCAGCCCCAAATGGCATAATTAGACAATATTTTGCTTCAAAAATTCTACCCTTTCTTAATGCTTGAATGAATTTCAACAAAATTTGGTCTGAAACATCATTGAGAGTTGAGAACAATTTCTTAAATTCAGAAACTTGATTCAGCACATAAGGACTTGGGGGCAGGGCCCAAAAGGGGACATCAGACAAGCTTTTGCTTCAAAATGCTATTCTTTCTTAATGCTTAAATGGATTTCAACCAAATCTAGTGTAAAACATCATGGAGAGTAGGGAATCATTTCTTAAATGCAGAAAGTTGTTCGACCCCTAGTGAATAGGAATTACCTTGATCCGCTTGAAAGATCACACGGATCAAATATGTCAAAATCTTTAAATGACTTCTTCTCAATAACCAGGAGATGACGATATTAGGTCTCTAGGATGAAGGGCTATCAACTTTGTTAATATGAATGACATTGATCACTTTCAAAGTCACAGAGGTCAATGTGTTGAAATGCTTAAGCAACCTCTTTTCAATAAACAATGTGCCAAGGGTCTTGATATTGGGCTTGTAGCTTGCCCTTTCAATGTCCGGAGCAATAGTAATTGTGTAGTGCATGTATAAAAATAAGATTTTTCAAGTTTGCAGAAAACGTCACGATGAACTAACAATGTCTTCTATGTAAGATGTAGAGTATATAAGCAATTTATTTAAGGTTTGTTTTGCGTTTTTCATATATAGGTCTTTATAGTATATAGCAGAATAGATATGTCATTCGCTGATGAAAAAATTTTCTTTGTGTGATTACATTGTATATAGCATGGATAGGTAAGCATCCGCGAACAAAATTTGTTCCGTCATTCAATTCAAAAGATCTCTACAAGGAACGATGTCTCGTTTTATTGTTTTATCATTTTTTAATACACTGTGACGCTAACGTGACGTCACTACAGCCAAAGGAATTTCATTCATTAGTTCACGACAGACGTGACATCACAAAAGATCTCTATTCTGCGTCACACAAGAACTCTATTTGGCGTCGCTCTGGATCACCATGCTGTAAAGACATTTCGGTGATGGGATATTTATAATAACATTTATGGTAAGTTGGCAGCTGTTTACGTGAAATGAGTTTCAGACCGCTTCTGTGATACAGGATTGTAGGTGTTAAATGGGTTTTCTTATTGTGATGCCGAAGGTAAACACATTGTGGCGTCGGATGGAAAACTCGAACTTCATGAGGACGAGGAGACAGGATAGTGTTCGGGTTGTTGGCGCCAAAGCAGTGGTTTTCATGTTTGAATATCATGTCATAATTTATACACTTCTGTCTTTCATTCAGTATCCTATTACTTTTCAGTGATTGTGTGTTTTATGGCCTGTGATATAAACTTGTGGGGTGTTGAGTATAAGAAGGTCGGTCAATTTTTCGAACTTTTATATTGTTTAATCATCCACAACCAGGCAGGTTTGTTTTTTTCGTCATCACTCCTATCACAATGTCGAGCTTATATATTTATACAAAGGCAAAACAATAATGTTGAATTTAAGTCATTCACTTTCTTTTTTAATCTCATATCCCTCAATTAATCTTCTGAGGTAGCACCGGTGTAGTCGACGCCATCTCTATCACACCGTGTCTCCCAATATATATAACACCAGAGCAGATGACGCCATCTCTATCACACCCTCTCTCACTACATACAACACCAGAGCAGTCGACGCCATCTCTATCACACCCTCCCTCCCACTATATACAACACCAGAGCAGTCGACAACATCTCTATCACACCCTCTCTCCCACTATATACAACACCAGAGCAGTCGACAACATCTCTATCACACCCTCCCTCCCACTATATACAACACCAGAGCAGTCGACGCCATCTCTATCACACCCTCCCTCTCACTACATACAACACCAGAGTAGTCGACGCCATCTCTATCACACCCTCTCTCACTACATACAACACCAGAGCAGTCGACGCCATCTCTATCACACCCTCCCTCTCACTACATACAACACCAGAGCAGTCGACACCATCTCTATCACACCCTCCCTCTCACTACATACAACACCAGAGTAGTCGACGCCATCTCTATCACACCCTCTCTCACTATATACAACACCAGAGCAGTCGACGCCATCTCTATCACACCCTCTCTCCCACTATATACAACACCAGAGCAGTCGACGCCATCTCTATCACACCCTCTCCCCCAATATATACAACACCAGAGCAGTCGATGCCATTTCTATCACACCCTCTCTCCCACTATATACAACACCAGAACAGTCGACGCCATCTCTATCACACCCTCTCTCCCAATATATACAACACCAGACCAGTCGACGCCATCTCTATCACACCCTCTCTCCCACTATATACAACACCAGAACAGTCGACGCCATCTCTATCACACCCTCTCTCCCACTATATACAACACCAGAACAGTCGACGCCATCTTTATCACACCCTCCCTCCCACTATATACAACACCAGACCAGTCGACGCCATCTCTATCACACCCTCCCTCCCACTATATACAACACCAGAGCAGTCGACGCCATCTCTATCACACCCTCTCTCCCACTATATACAACACCAGAGCAGTCGACACCATCTCTATCACACCCTCTCTCCCACTATATACAACACCAGAGCAGTCGACGCCATCTCTATCACACCCTCCCTCCCACTATATACAACACCAGAGCAGTCGACGCCATCTCTATCACACCCTCTCTCCCACTATATACAACACCAGAGCAGTCGACGCCATCTCTATCACACCCTCCCTCCCACTATATACAACACCAGAGCAGTCGACGCCATCTCTATCACACCCTCTCTCCCACTATATACAACACCAGAGCAGTCGACGCCATCTCTATCTCTCTCCCACTATATACAACACCACGGCAGTCGACGCCATCTCTATCACACCCTCTCTCCCACTATATACAACACCAGAGCAGTCGACGCCATCTCTATCACATCTCTATATCACACCCTCTCCTCCCACTATATACAACACCAGAGCAGTCGACGCCATCTCTATCACACCCTCTCTCCCACTATATACAACACCAGAGCAGTCGACGCCATCTCTATCACACCCTCTCTCCCACTATATACAACACCAGAGCAGTCGACGCCATCTCTATCACACCCTCTCTCCCACTATATACAACACCAGAGCAGTCGACGCCATCTCTATCACACCCTCCCTCCCACTATATACAACACCAGAACAGTCGACGCCATCTCTATCACACCCTCTCTCCCACTATATACAACACCAGAGCAGTCGCCAACATCTCTATCACACCCTCTCTCCCACTATATACAACACCAGAGCAGTCGACGCCATCTCTATCACACCCTCTCTCCCACTATATACAACACCAGAGC